GTGTCATGACTGTCCTGATCAAAAGAAACACAACCATTCCAACCAAGCAGACTCAGACCTTCACAACCTACTCTGACAACCAGCCTGGTGTGCTCATCCAAGTAAGCGCAACACCAGTCATTCGCATACAACATTTCGCAGTGATGACGATTATTCCTGCCATTCGTAGTTTCCACCAGAGGTTGCAAGACCAAAGATGGCACAAACCTTCCTTGGATGTCTGAGCGAAATAAAGTTGACTAGAACTGAGTACTACTTAAAATCCTGTACTTAACCCTTCATGCTTCAAACAGGTTTATGAGGGTGAGCGTGCTATGACCAGGGACAACAACCTGCTGGGCAAGTTTGAGCTGACGGGCATCCCTCCTGCTCCCCGTGGTGTTCCCCAGATTGAGGTGACATTTGATATTGATGCCAATGGCATCATGAATGTTTCTGCGGTCGACAAGAGCACTGGCAAGGAGAACAAGATCACCATCACCAATGACAAGGGTGAGTTTCAGATTTTTATATTTTTACTCTTAACATTATCTCAAATGTTCCCCGTCAAACATTTTTGACAATTTGCAATTTACTCCCAGGGCGACTCAGCAAAGAGGACATTGAACGCATGGTCCAGGAAGCTGAGAAGTACAAGGCAGAGGATGACTCCCAGCGTGACAAGGTGTCTTCCAAGAATGGCCTTGAGTCATATGCTTTCAACATGAAGTCAACTGTGGAGGATGAAAAACTTGCTGGTAAGATCAGTGAGGACGACAAGCAGAAGATTCTGGACAAGTGCAATGAGGTCATCAGCTGGCTAGACAAGAACCAGGTACTTATTCTATCTTTTGTAGTCTTTTAGCCACAATATGAATTGGTATTAAAACACTAACATTTGTTTTTTTGTTGCAGACTGCCGAGAAGGAGGAGTATGAACATCAACAGAAGGAACTGGAGAAGGTGTGCAACCCCATCATCACCAAGCTGTACCAGAGTGCTGGTGGAATGCCCGGGGGAATGCCAGAGGGCATGCCTGGTGGTTTCCCTGGAGCTGGTGGTGCTGCACCTGGCAGCGGTGGGTCCTCCGGCCCCACCATTGAGGAGGTCGACTAAACACTCCTCGCTTCCGCTCCAACTTCTCTCCTGAGATGTTTTCTAAGAAAGTAACCCTCTTATAGCAAAAGTTACAACAAGCTAAAGAGTGCAATTGAACAAAAAACTGGGTTCAGGGATCACACTTATTGCATGGTTTGCGACACAACTGGGAACAACTTGTAGTTTGAACAAGCAGTCAGATCACATGTCTGGTAAAGTGTTTTGTATACAAGGATGTCACTGCCTTGATAATAAAAACAAATCTTAACCCTTTGCCTGATCTCTTCTTGGCTTTATGTTAACGTAGTTTAATTTAGCTAATGGTTGCACTATTATTGCGTAATGAAAAGTTTAACTTGACTTTTGTCTTCTCTACTTTTGCACTAAAGCAAAAGACAACAGTTTTATTTACAGCGATAGGGGAGTTAAGGGGGGGATAATTTTATATTTTGGTACCTTGGACTGAGATGTTTGTAAAGGGTAACTGAAGTCACACCAAAAGAGCAATGTCCACTTGGTTATAGTGCCATCTACTGGTTGATGCTGTCTTTTCCATCACAGCTGCATTTCAGGGACATGTATGTACAGTCCTAGTGATCAACGAAGCTTCAAATCATGGCCAGAAAGTGTAACACTGTTCAAGCTCTCCCACTGCATCACAGCCATCTTGTGTTTTCATGGAGCTGTGTCCGATGATGGCATTTAGCCAGTGTGAATGGACTAATTATAAATCACTGACATTTATTTTAATGGTGTTCAAGAATGTATGTTGCAGTAATGGTAGCTTTATACATGCCCTCACAAAGGAAGTCTGGTTCTGATAAAGGTTAAAACCTCGTATCTCTTGCTTGGCTGTAGAAAAGAAGCTGTATTGCTCATCTTTGTCTTGCCAAACAACTCATCTGAACATTATGAAGTGTGCGATGAATACAAAAACCCTGCCAGTATTCAAACACTTGATACAGTGCTGACGCAAGGTAAGTGACATTCAGGCACTTCAGGTACATGCACTCACTATTTTCCCTCACCAGTGTTTTTTTTATGCTATTGTCCACAGCTCTAAAGAATAACCTACACCGAGTTCTATATGAACACTAAGGGCACATTCTCATTACACAGGACCAAACAATACCTCATATTAATCAGCTGTGCCTATGAAAGTTCCATGAAGTTATAAATTGACCTAATAAATGAATAATATTTATCAGAATTAATTGTATTGTGGCAGATTAATTCTCCACAAGGATTAAAAATTAAAGGATACATCGATAACATTTTACAACTGTCAAGTGGTCCTGAACTTCTATTGGGTGGCTATTTCCTGGTTCAGATTTGTTGTTGGATTTGTAGTTCTAGGACTTTTAACATAACAAATCCTCCCGAATAATCCTGGGAGTTTTAGCCAGAGGGCAAATCCACGATGCTGCTGATCTGACAAATTGGTCAGACACAGTTGTCACACATTCATAAATGATCTTACTGCAAGTAGATACTGCAGTAGTTAAGTGTGATTGACTTTACATTATTTTAGTGAACACCCATCTCCAAAATATAAATTAAAATCCTTACTTTTAATATTCTCCTTCCTTACATACTGTTAAGTAGTTTGAAAGTGAATGTTAGAAGGTGTCAGGGTTAATCTTGGATGTGTCCCTCTAACTCCAGGATTATTGGGAGTGACCTGGGGGTAATTGTTTTTTATATAAGGTCCATAATAGTCAAACCAATGATCCATAACCAGAAAACAGAGGTTCTTGACTGTCTCTAGGTACTCAAATGAAAAAATCTGCAAAACGGTTATTTTTAGAATATCTCTCTTGCTGTTTGGAAGGAACTCCCCATACACCTATCAGATGAATACATTTGTTTTAATAACATTTTCACAGGTTTACAGAAATGTGCCCTTGTTAAATTCTGTGTCATTAAAATCTGACTGGTATATATATTATAGAACAGTTTTTACAATGATATTTGACAAATTATTTTGTACAGGTTACACTGAATCAGTCAAATGGTGAATACAAGTGGGAAAGAAGAGCGGTACCACAAAAGCTTCATTGCTGCAATGCATTTTCCAACATTAGTGACAGACTTAAAAAATCACTGTAAAACATCCCTCCATCTTGGTTCAACCAGCCCCTGGCCAATGGGCTGCTGGTAGTTGTGTATTCCTACTGGAAAGACTCCAATGGAACAGAGACATTCATTTGGATTTACACTTATTTTGGTTGTTGCTATCTGTCATCCATGAAGTGAAGTAGTAATGTGTGGCCTCTTATAGCTAGTTCAAAAAGGTCTGAGATTTATGAGGAGCACTTGAATGCACCATGTGTGCGACAGCGTTACTATGGAGTTCTGACATAAACGTCCCGTTTAAAGCTGTGAAATGTATACATGGATGATTGACATACTCCTGCTTTAAAGATACATCCTGCTGCCATCTTCCCTTTCACAGGTGACCTGTCACCTACTACAGTATGTTGATGTGAATTAAAGTCCTTCCATGACGTGTGGCCTCTTGTAGCCATTTAAAAAAAGTCTGAGCTTTTATAAGGAGCACTTGAATGCACCATGTGTGCGTTGGCGTTTCTATGGTTACTGTTGTGTGGAGTTGTGACAGAAAAACAGGTAAGTTCACTCCTTTCCTCTCTTTAGCACTGTTAACTCCAGAAATACAACTCGTATTTTTATTTCTGTTGGTTTGATCTGAACTTCCTATGGTTTAATCTAAATGCTACAGGATATCTGCTCAGCTAGCAGACGGCTGGTGGGTTTCATCCGATCTTAGCTATCATTATGAAATACGTGACAGACATAACGCTAACATGTTCCACAAACACCATCCCTCAGTGATCCTTTCTTTTTGAGTTTGAAAGCTTTACTTGGAGGAAATAATACACCTGTCTCTGTCTCTGCTCCACTCTGAAAAACATTGTTTGCTTGAATTTAGCCCCGTTGACATAATGTTACAATACCATACCCAATCAGTTTGAATGATCTACTTCATGAAGAGCGGAGTGTATCAGAGGAAAACACACATCCATGCAGACATTTGGCAGGTCTAATCACAAAGCTGATCCTGAGTCAGCTCTGCAGGTCATCATCATTTATTTGATGTCTTTACTAGAATGCTTTGATAGAACGGAGCCATGGTTAGTGTTAGAATTGCATGTAAATATAAAACTTTGTGCAATGTACACGCAAATGCAAAATACCCCCCCTCTTTGTTTATTTACAATTGGCATACAGTACCAGCTACCTCTTAATTCTATATGGTCACTTTTAAAAAGAAAACAAATATCCTGCTATTTCGGTTTTTACTTATTATGTGATGTAATGTAATTCATGCTATTTGAACATTAGATAATATTCACTTTGCATACATAGTCACATTCATCTTTTAATATGTAGGTCTATTCTCCTCCCTTTATCTGCTGTTGTAATAAGGTACATTTCCCCGTTGCGGGACAAATAAAGGAAGTCTGGTTCTGATAAAGGTTAAAACCTCGTATCTCTTGCTTGGCTGCAGAAAAGAAGCTGTATTGCTCATCTTTGTCTTGTCAAACAATTCATCTGAACATTATGAAGTGTGAGATGAATACAAAAACCCTGCCAGTATTCAAACACTTGATACAGTGCTGACACAAAGTAAGTGACTTTCAGGCACTTTGTGAGCTTGGTTTCTTTCTCACTTTTTCATGGAGTTGTCAGAAAGGGGGCATACTGTAATATCTGAGACACACTTTCTGTTGAATGTATACATGAATGCTCAACATACCTCCTTTTACAAACTAATGTTCATCTTGTACAATAAAGATATGTTTGTATTTGTTTTGTAGTTGCAGTGTTACCAGCCTGCTGCAACGGTCGTCAATATAGATGATCCATACTTCACAAAGCACACTGTCCACCTACAACATAACATGGATAAAGACCTGAAAAATGAACCGACATCTCAAGGGTGGAAGACGGAGCAAGAGAAGCTTCCTGCTCCGAGACAGCAGTGGGACTCAGTGGAGTCGGACACAGAGAGCCTGGCCCAGGAGAGAGCTTACCAGCAGCAGATACACATGGATCTGATCCGCCACCACCAAAACAAATACACACTGCCTCAAAAGAAAAAGGATGACAGCTTACAGCCGGGATATCAGGAGGGTGAAGATGCAAGTGATGATGAAGCTCTAGGTCTTCAAGTTGTTGATAGTCTTGACGTAGCAGCAAAGCACCGTGCCAAAAGGAGCCCTACCCTGACACAGACTGAGTATTTGGACACGCAACCGAATGAAAGAGGAGGAACAAGGTAGGTTACTCAAGTTCTGTTTTTCTGTTGCATTGAATAATGGTATTCAAAGTAAGATCAGAGAATGTACAAACACTTTACATCAGCTAGTTGTGATTAAGAGTGTTGGTTCTGTTCAGAATCAGAATCATAATTGGGGGGGGGGGGGGGGGGGGTCAGCCACAATCAATCTTCCTTACAGCCTCAGGGTCCTGGAGGCCTGCAGGTCGTGGAGGGAGGGCAGAGTGCAGCGGGTGCACATGAAACGGAAAGTAATGTTATCAGGCTATAATGAACACATGCCAAGAACACTTTTATATCACTGCAGCAAATGTAGAACTTCACTAAAACAAGTATTTACGATCGACAGGACAGGTACCATTCTATATTTCTCTTAACGTAAACAAACTCCATTAAAAAGACCAAAACCAACATTTAGTCACAGGTCTCGATGTGTTTTGCGCCACTAAAACTTTTCTGACTACATGGATTAAACATGGATGGATACATGGCTCTTTAGCCGCCATGTTACATGTAAACACTACCTTAACATTCATTTAAGATGGGTGTTATACTGTCTGAAAACAGGATGCTATATTGCACATCCTAGTTTATTAATTAACCACTCTTTTTGTTCTTTCTTAATGAAGAAACATTTTCTCTGGAAGGAGCCTCGAAGATGTTTACATGAAAATCACATGTTTTGTCCTTATTGGGGGACATGACATATCGCCGCAAAATGCTGTCCCATTTGTCCTTACACCATCTAAATCCCTTTCATTTTCTCACTCAAGCATCTACAAATACCTGAACAGTTCCAAAGACAGGGTTGTGTGTGTGATCCAACAAAATCAAAGTGTATTTTTGGGGAAAAGATGTTACAACAGTTTTCTACCCATTTCATTTTTATTTTATTGGTGCCAAATCTAGTACACTAGAGTGTAATTATATATTTAATATTTAGTGTTTCAACCCTGTTCAAATCGCGATTATTTAGGGAAATAAATAAAGCTTCCAAACTTTGGAAATGACAAATGTGATTGCTATGGAATACCTGGTTGTGGCCTTTCAATGGAATTCATTGACGTAAGAGAAATAAAGAAATAAAGAATGCACTTCAAGTAACTCTTGTAACTCTCCTGACTATTAGTTTAGCAGTATGGCCAGTAGATGGCATTAATGTATGTATTTGCACAATTGCTTATAAAACCTAAAACAATCAAAAAACAACAACCTCAGACTTGATTTGTTGAACAAATATATATAAAATAACCTTTTGTTGTGTTTTCATCACATATGTGGCCTTGTCTATCACAGAGTTCTATCAACGCGTCATTATAAGCTATTTACCATGATGAGATTTGTTCCTGACCTTGTTCAAATTGCCCATTGAACTGGACCGTCACTTTCACTGTCAGTGACAAATTAATTGAAATTAAGCAGATAATAGTGCTGCTGGAATACAGCAAGGAGAATGGAGGCGGCAATCAAACCTTTTACTTTCAAACAGAACATGGATGATAAAAGATAAATAACCCTCATTCTTCACTTAACAATGAAGTGGTGTCAGTTATTTAATGAGATGCAGCCATCAATGGCACATTGTAGTGAGAATGGCCTAATTCAGGTGCTTTCAGAATAACACCTTTCATGTGAGCTAAATTAGATTTTTGTTTTGTTTGGGTGGATCACAATAAGTGGTCACTCGTGGTCCATTAACAGGGATCATTGTGGCTGAAAAGGAGATCTCTCATTCTCTCTTTTGAAGGAGCAGAGGGAGAACAACACCACATCTGTTTCTGCACTCTTGTTAAACCGTACCGCTGTTTCCACTACTCCCTCCTGCAGACCCAGAATGATAGTCATTTCCCTCTGAAATAGAAAAGGGGCATTCTGCATTTTCCCATCATTAACCCACGCAGACTGATGTCCACCCAGTGTGGGTTCGCTTCAAAAGTACATTGTTTCAGGGTAAAATGAGCATGACAAATTCTCACAAAAGGCTCCATTTCATAGAGCATAAGCAGGGGACACAGTCCTATTGGCATCACCGTGTTCTCATAGTCCTCGCTGCTGCCCACTCAAAGCGGTAAGCCTTCTCACACATTGCCATTGCATAGTTTAAACCCAATGGAAATTCCCTTTTGTAGTAAAATATATCCTATTAAAGCAACTCCATTCATCCATCTTAACTATATTCTACATCATTCGAAATATTGCGACGGGATGTTTGAGTATAGTCCGTATGACTCGTTTTTTCATTTTCCTATTCAGTGTTTGTCACAATATTTCAATGGCTTTTGTATTTAGGTGTCAGTATCTTGGGCAAGAAATATCAGGCTGCGGTGTTCCTTCAGTGTGTGAGGCATCACGTCCAGCTGCATGTTGTCAATAATGCATTCTCCAACTTGTTTGAGTCATTAGAGAGACATCCCTTACCCTTTTGGCCTCATCGATGTGAAGGGCCCTACACCTAGGCAACCCTCCCCCCGACGCACAACATAACGGCAGGAGAATTAGGCTCCCCTCGTCCTCCCAGTAAGCACAACAAAGAGGCTCTCTGCTATTTATTTTAATGAGATCTTTTCATCACCATCAGAAAGAGCATTTTAGCCTGCAATTTTCAAGCCATTTCATAAGCTGAAAATTGCCGTTTGTGAACCATTCCCCCGCTAGTAGCTCTCAAATACACTGTCATTAGTGAGTCCGGAGGTGAAAACATGAAAATGATCTGTAAATACAGGCACCTAATCCCCCTCATCTGTTTCAATTTCACAAGTCTCTGATAAGGCGTAGCGCTCTTTGTTTGAGGACATCATCATTCTAATAATGGTCTAATGCCTCTTGTTCCTTTGACCTCTAAGTAAAGACCTATGTGAATGTGGAACACTTCCTTTAGATATGGAAATGTCATTAATAAAGCTGCGTAACAAGAATTAAATCAATTACTGATAATAGGATGAGACTACCAGACATATATTCCATTTAGTTTTATATCTCCCATCTGCCTATTTCATACAGCTCAGCAATAGAGCTGCTACATATGATACACATATCAGTTTTAGGCTTGTTGTATTGCACATGAGATCATTTTTAATATTGTCATTCTTCAACCCTGCAGCCAGCAGCCCACCCAGGATTCCTATTCTGACCTACGCTATGACCCCAACTGGAGGACCAACCTGAGGGGAGCCGGCCGCTTCGATGACAGTCCACATATTTCTGTTGAGGAATATTATCAAGCTCCTAAAGAGAAATCCAGTCAGCCATGTTGTGACAGACAAGGACTTGTAATGAAAGGAGGATACAGATACATCGTCAACTCATGTCCAGCTGTTGCAGTGACTCCTCATCTGGCTTGTGATGAGTCTGAGCCGTACTGCCTACACCCACAAAACGCTCAGACTGGCTCAGCTACACCTCCCCACCATGAGCTACAACCTCCATCACCTGAGGCGGACCATTCAAAGCCACCCTGTGGCAAAAATACACTGAAAGGATTCAGAAGGAAAAGTGTAAATAGTTGTGACAATGCAGGGGAAAATAGAACAACTCAAATACAGCAAATTAGCACTTCCAAATATCCAAAGGTTTCATTGAACAAAAAGCTAGAAAGTCTTGCAGAGGACATCGTGGAACGCAACAAAATGACCCTGGGGCGCAACAGCTCCAAACGTGGCTCCTATGTGAGTGTTCATGCACTTAAGCAGGAGAGGCCTCATAAAGTCAATAAGGTTTGTATAATCCCATCAATAATGTCTGCTAATGGTAAAAATTACGGAATGACAGTTAGATCTTTGATATGTGATAAAAAAAGAAAAAATACATTTTCCGCTCTGTAATAGGCTGCAGTTCCAGCAGCAGCCACCAGGAGCTGCCCTAACACTGACCATGGTTCCCGGGCTGCCCAGCTATTGTTACACTAACAGGATTTAAGATTGGCTCTCACTGGGGATAGACTACCGAAGAATATTGGAATACACTTTATTTTGAGTGTGTGGGGCTTGTTTGCTGATCAACTATCTATTGGACTTACTGTTTTTCTCCAGCGTAGGTTGTTTGTTTTGGAACTGAAGGAAGCAGATTCTGGTTGTAGTAGGCTAATTATTGAGGTATTATGCCCGCTTTTGGGTTAGGGTCAGCTTTTGGCAAGTGTGTGGTGTTTCATATTTTTAAGACATGTATTGTTTTGTTTTTTTTGCAAATGAACCTGATGTGATAGTGATGATTGTGCTTTGGTATTTATGGCAATGACTTAATCCATTGAACTCGGCTATACTAACAGTTTTAAACACAGAGGTCAGGGTTATGGCTTGTTAGTGCTCATGCACAAGTGCTATTGTGTCTTTACATCTTTCAGACGTCTGTATTTAGCGTGCACTTAGGTGATCAGTAGTCAAGTGTCAGTATATTACTCTTTGAAGCTTTTTCTGATCTGAGACAATATCAATGGGCGATTGCTTGAACGCATCTCTTTTTCCTGAGCTGAATATAGAGCAATATTGTTTTTTCCCTTCTGCATGAACCAATGTTATGCTCATTTAGTATTATCATTGCTTTCTATATGCCTTTTAGTCATCTCAGACAACTAAGAGAATATTGTATGATGTTTGCCCTGACCCAGTCTGGAAAATTAATTTGGCTGAGGAGCATAGCTGTTTTTATCTGCCTTCTTCTTCACCATATGAAAAGAACCATGTCTGGCTATGCAGTGCTTATTATGAGTTGATGTGTACAACATCAGAGACGCATGGTTACCAATAGGCTCTTAGACATCCCTGCACCTGGCACAGTGGCATAATTGGTCGGGATGGCCTGCATTCCCCATTTGTTGGGCCACAAGACTGTTTGCTTCCTATAATACCCCCAACCATCTGAGCCCCAGCCCTTCACAATGTCTCATATCATCACCATTTACATAGTCAAGAGCCGTTAGCTTTGTGCAATGGTAAACAGAGCCAGAGCCTTTCCCTCTCTGGACCCCTTGTGTTTTGTCATTTCCCTCTGAATTTGCTTATTAGTTTTCCATCGCCCTGTCTCCCCTAAGATGTGTCTTACTTAATGGGGGACATAGGGCACAAAAGAAGGGGCATTCATTTACACGTATCTATTTCCTGTTTCAAGATAGGATTCATCATTGTGTTGGGTTTTTCAAAGCAACATTATTTTGCATAAACAAAACTGAAAAGGCTTTAAAAAATGTTAAACCATATTTTAGAAGCAGAATAAAAAAATATAATAATAATGTCAGTAAAAGCTGCAGTTCATTGAAGCATTGAGATGACATACAGGTCATCACATGTTAAACATCCAATAGGTCTACAGAGGCACAGTTTCCACTATGCTCATAGATTAGAGTTTTGAATATATCGGTTTATTTTCACGCACACTAAATGAAATATTAAAAATCAAAGTAGACAAATATAATATTTTCTTCAATATTGGGAGATAAAATATTAAAGGTCAGATAAACTTGTAATAACTATGATAACCACACATCTTCTATAACAAAGCTTGTTGTGCTTCCTCCCACCTTCTCTGTCCAAAGCTCCTCACAAAAGAAAGCAACAGTCAGTACACAAATGGCATCAGTCTTACAAATCAAGCTTTTCACAAATCAGTCCAGAAAAGTCACTCGTTACGTGGGCCTTTTAAAACTCCCCATTTGGTCTTTTAAAGAGTGCGGCCATCTGACGGCAACTGATAATTAGACGTGTTATTAAATGTACACAATTTCCTAATGCAGCAAATGTTTAGCTGGGCCAAGTGGGAGAGTGGCAGCAGCAATGATTGGCTTCATCGGGGCCCGGGCCTCCTTTGATAAAGACAGAAGTAGCAGATCAATCTTCTGCTATTGCACTCACCCCTTAGAGTCCCTACTCCTCTCGCAGGCCCTCACTTCAAAGCCAGGGCAACATAATGTACAATCTTTTAATAGCTTTAGACCAAAGCTCTGGGGAGCTCTCTGCCACTGTATACCCTGCCTCAGTCTAAACACCTAATCAAGATTACCTGGGCCGGCCACAATAGCAGCTAAATGCAATTCAAGATCTACAGCCCCTTTGAAGTCTTCATTGGGAAAAGCAGATGTTTCCCGGGTACAGGAGGTAATACAGCTTGCTGCAATTGCCAGACTTTGTTGTGACATCGTCTCACAGAGAGGCAATTACGAGCCTCCCAATTTAGTAAAAAAGATATTACACAGCTTACCGTGCTCAAAATGCAATACAGGCTTGATCATTTGCTCCAACTGATTGGGATGTTTATAATGGGTGACAAAAGGCAGGGGGAATAGGTGATGGTTAGAGGTGCAGAGTGTGTGTGTGTGTGTGTGTGTGTGTGTGTGTGTGTGTGTGTGTGTGTGTGTGTGTGTGTGTGTGTGTGTGTGTGTGTGTGTGTGTGTGTGTGTGTGTGTGTGTGTGTGTGTGTGTGTGTGTGTGTGTGTGTGTGTGTGTGTGTGTGTGTGCGTGTGTGTTGTGTGTGCGCGTGCGTGCGTGACACTGCCTATTCTTATTGATCATCTGTAACAGCACCCAATGTATAACAGTATTTCTGTCATTTTGAAAAAACATTCTTCCATTTTGTCGGTCAGTTCACGTATGGTTCAGATAATAACCAAAAGCAAACCAATGTACCTGAAAGCTAGAGAAAAGGACCATACAGCTTCAATGATGAAACAGCATATGGTCCTGGAGGTTTGTCTGACAGTGCCCTGAATTCTTCCCAGTATAACAGTAACATGTCAGCGTATTATACACATTCACAAACACACTTATTGATGGATATGGTACAACTGGATCCACTCACTCCTTGTGACCTTCACCTATTCAAGCTCACAGAATTGGTGGCATTCAGTGAAAAAGTCTTCAGCCTGTCAATACCATTGATCCACTCAGATGGTCCTCTGCCGCTGAGGGGAGCCCTGAAGTTAACTAAATGATTTTCATTACAGCATTAGCAGAACACATTCTCATGGCTCAAATGGGTACATTAGGAACAACTGAAACAGGAAAATCGACGCAATATGATGTGGTGGAATAAGACAGGCACTGATAGTAATGGATGCAGTATTGATAACCCTGAGTAGCTGTTGTTGTGTATGTTTTAATTGGCCTTCCCAAAGGCTTTAGTTTCTAGTGTATATCTTTTATTTCAACATTTTCAGTATCAGTATTTTGCTTTCTCTTTCTGATCTGTCTAAAAGTGCTTAAGGAGTCAGCTAGCAGAGTAAATCAGGTTTAGGAACATCCTGGTCCTCTCCCTTGGTTAACATGGGAGCCCAGTGTAATGTGAACATGTAGTAAAACATACTTTTGTTTGTGTTTATGGAATCTCTGTTGCCAGTTCCAGCAATGGCCACATAGCTGCTGCACAGCTGAGACACCATCACTTAAGCTTTTAATTTCCTTTAGGGAATGTGCACACAATCATTGGTGGTGTTTCTGCACTAGGGTTTGCCAGAGATGATTTAAATAAAAAGAAAATAGGAGTCTGAGTAAAAAAGGAGAAGATTGGAGGAGCGTTATTATTGTGAGCACTTGAGCAGCCACCTTGACGCTGCCAAGCAGATGAGAATACATATTTTCCCTCTGGAATGGGCAAAGCTGATGTTTGCTAAATCAGTGGCATTAGATGCATGAGACACTCGCTCACAGGCCTCCTGCTAAATAATTTGGTGAGATCATGCGAAGAACAGCTCCAGCCCTTGTTACACTGGGAGAGAATTCAGCCTCTTATCCAGAGCTCATGTGTGTCTGCTGTTGTTTTGGGTGTGAGTGGTTGGTTCATGCTTTGTGCTCAACCCCATTTCAAAGCAAGAAAAAAACACCTAAGATCTTGAAAAAGCTACACTTTGCATGTTGGCATATCTTACAGAAATGCAGAGGATTTAAAATATCTAGATTCACAGCAGCAGTCTTTGAATATGAAAAGGCAGATTTAGTGAAGTGCTGTTGTGTAGTGTTTTGATGCGCGTCTCTTTGCCCTTCACAGCTCAGCACTCACCAAAGTCTGGCTGGGATTTTGCAGCTTTTCTACAGAACCGCTGATCCAAATAACATTACACTCAGCACTGCTCTCTTCCTGGTGCACGGCTAAACACATGCCATGTGTGAGATCATCAAAACTCAGATAAACACACATATACAAACACACAGACAACTGTCATTGTGTTATTACATTTACAAGGCAAGGCAATTTTATTTATATAGCACCTGTCAACACAAGGCAATTCAAAGTGCTTTACGAAATGAAAGACATTAAGAGCATTAAGAAATAGAGCAGTGGAAACACATTTTAAGATAATAAAAAAACATAAAACAAGCTCATATAGAATAAGACAGGTATAAAATACATGAATACAAGTTACAGTGCAGTGTAAGATATGAATAGTTCATTAAAAAGCAGCGGCAAAAATAACGTTTTTTTTGCTTTTGTTCAAACACAGTGTTTTATGAAAGTGTGTAGGTGACTATCTGTTATTTTCTATTTAGAATGGAGGTTAAACATGCTATATGCTGGGCCACCCATGCTAAGTCTTTCAATCAGTCTTGTCTATATCACTACCTTTTTGCTCTGACATTCTACATCAATGAAAAAATGTTGTTCTCAAACTGTTAATCCTATTATAACCCCAGTTCACCCAGATCAGTGAAGAAAAGAAAACCCAGCGGGAAGAATACCCCAACCGTCAGCAGCGGCAGCAGCAGCAGCCCCCCCCTGCCCCGGGGGTCACAGCTGAGTGGGGGGACTGTCTGAGCTCAACACTGGCCACACCAGCCTCTGTAACTCAGCCAAATCCTCAGAAGACATCTTCCTCACAGCCTCTGCTGCCCAGCATCCACCTGAACATCCACCTGAACACTTCCCATCTCCATCCTTTTATCCAGCGGGGTGGCCAGGATGACATCATCAATTTGACACCTCCTCACTGGAGCCCCCCATCTGAAGTTGAACTTGCCTTTTTCCCTGGATGTCAACAAACGAATCACCACCGAATCCTGAAGAGTAGTCCTGAACAATGGCAAAGGTGAGCCTTTTATATACGTATACATCTTTTTTCTGACCAAGATTAGAAAGATACTGCATTTGAAGCATTGGAGAAATGCTGCAGCAGGTAGTTCATAGAAAGAGAGACAGACATGGACTCATTAAAGCAAACACTACAGTGAACTGACATCCCAAATGAAAGCATAATGGTTTATGAAAAAGACTGCTAGCACTGAGGCAAGTACAACAATGAAAAGGAATAAGAATGTGCAATACATACAATTATAAAAAGGGAAAATACATTTTTGTTTAGTAGTCTATTACAATGGAAACTTCGTTTTTATCCACCAATTACTTTGCGTTCCAGGACAACTGCATTAAAGTGGCCCCTATCCTGTGAAGGGGAGCACCACAAGTGTCCAACTGAGACCCACACTAAGCCGTTTCCACAAAACCTCCCCGGGACCCCCAGCACCACTCTGTCCCCAGGCTCAGGCCTCGCAGTGCTGCCCCCTATAAGAGAGTGGATGACAGGGAGAGAGCCTGAGCCGAGCCCCGAGGACACAGAGTCTCACACTGACGGATACAGGAAGCTCAGGACCAGAGCAACGTACAAGGTGTGTGTGTGTGTGTGTGTGTGTGTGTGTGTGTGTGTGTGTGTGTGTGTGTGTGTGTGTGTGTGTGTGTGTGTGTGTGTGTGTGTGTGTGTGTGTGTGTGTGTGTGTGTGTGTGTGTGTGTGTGTGTGATCTTCATATGTGCCCTGAAAGGAGGGATAATGACTGTTCAAAGGTTTGATTCCTTGTCTTTGTGTATGCCATCTAATCTGGGATGTCTCCTATGAAAAGGATTTGTATAATTGTCTGAAATACATGCATTTTAAAACTGTGTTAAAAAAAGGCTCAAGGTCCACATAATTTACTCAAAACATACTGAATAATTGCGTTCAAGTTAGAAAAAGAAGATCTCATTATGCAGTTAACAAAAGTGACACATGAATTCTTCAATGGAGTGGCATTCCCCTTTAATCCCACGTACACAAGAGGTTACACAAATAAATGCCTCTTTGAAGTCCCAAATAATCCCATCAGCTGTCTCATGCAGGGACAGCTTAATCCAGCAGGAGTGTTCTGGTGAGTAAGGCACAAAACATCAGGTTAATTGTCTAGCTCCACTAAGCTACACTTAATTGCTATAAGATGATGACTATATAAACCACAAGGCTGCAGGCTCTGAAAAGCCGTTTAAAGATGTGTTAGAGGATAAGGTGATTAGAAGCAAGAGAGTCTGAGGCACAGGGCCACTAAAGATGCCCATTTGCATTTAATGATTTGGCTGTTTGTATTTTCCCCCCTCTCTGGTTTGCCAGGCTGAGATATTGAAATATTGAAATACAGGTGACTGTCATTGTCATAAAAACAATTGTCCATGATTAAAACTCACCTCAGCATTGATGCAAACTGACTATTGATATTTCATAGCTTTTTTTGCTTTCATGTTTTCAGTGTCTTTTACATGACATTACATTACGTTACTTGTTAGACGCTTCTATCCAAGCGACTTACATACTCAATACTGTGGACAATCCCCACAGGAGCAATTTGGGGTGAAGTGTCTCAGGGACACAACGACATGCTGACTGCAGAGGGGTTTGAACCTGTGACCCCCTGATCCAAACACCTACGCCACACGCCTCTTCTTCACACACAAAGCCTGTGTGATCTCTGTGTGTGCAGAGATAGTACCAGGTCTGCACATGGCTGGACATGCTCTCAGTGAATGATACACTTCTTACACAAAATGTCCCCAACAGGGACAAACAGAGAAATCCAGGCATGAACACAGACGATTGATTATGTATGATGTATATAGTGTGTCATATTTATTGTTACAATAACTAACAATTGAGTTAAGTAGACCCCAGCAAGGCCGCCGAGTGCTCCGAGTGGTATTCATACTGGAGCCTTCACATGTTCATCCTGTGGTGCCCAACACCACTCATCCCCTGACCTCCCCTCTCTCCCACCATGTTAGCCATCATGTCTGACGAGATTACTGACTCAATTTGTAAAGCAGTCTTGCTGTAGTGCCCCGGCATGAAAGCAGATGAGCGTGACTTAGGGGTTCTAGAAGGGAAGGGGGCCTGGAAAGAAAGAGACCCTGTTGTGTCCATGGCCGACGGAGAACAATTGAAATCCCCCCTCTGAAAAGCAGCCAGTACAATCTGGAATGATTAGCTCTATGTTGTCTGGGACAGCTTGTGGATTGCACACACACACACACACACACACACACACACACACACACACACACACACACACACACACACACACACACACACACACACACACACACACACACACACACACACACACACACACACACACACACACACACACACTCACACTCACACACACACACACACACACACACACACACACTCACACTCACACTCACACTCACACACACACACACACACACCACACACACACTCACCACTCACACACACACACCCACACTCACACACACACACACACACACACACACACCCACCTCACACTCACACACACACACACACACTCACACACACACACACACACACACACACACACACACTCACACACACACACACACACATACACATACACACACACACTCACACACACACACACCACACTCACACTCACACTCACACTCACGCTCACACTCTCAAATCATCATCATCATCACCAACTGCTGTGAATGAAGGGGAATACAGTTGTTCTCTTTGTGTCTCCCCTATCAGCCAAACACTGTTGCACACACACTAATGTGAAGTACTAATATGTTTCTGGTTTATTTGAAATAATAGTTTATTTAGTATGACCAAGACAACCACTATCATTAAACACCACTGCAGAGACACACATTTATCCTAATCCACAGAAGAAGACATCAACACATTTTTTTGATTAAGAGCTGATCTTACCACAATGTGAAAGCAACGATCCATGTGTCATCACTTTAACGTTAAAATACAATTAAACAATACTCTAATAAAGCGTTCTGATAAGCATGTCTCTGTAGGGCTCTACTTGGCTCTGTGGTGCTTTGAGCTAAATGCTAACACCATCATTGCAGAGCTCACAGTGATGGCAGTTATTAGGTCAATACGGTGTATGACGTTGCTGCGCTGTGTGGATTTGTATATGTGTGTTTTACACTTTTACGGCCAAGAACAGGCGTGAACCAACGTGTGGCTGGGTGGACTGGGTTTTTTCAGCTTTCCACAGAACTACTGAATCAAATAACTTAAAGCACCACTCTTCTTTGAGTCCTCAGCTCGAACACCCCACTTTACGTAAGTTGTTCCTATTGGCCAGATAATATACGTGTGTATACATTTACACAAACACAGACCTGTCTCTCTTTATAGTATGATGGGGAAAAGACAAAGTGACAACGTGGTTATTATACATTGGAAATATTTCACATATGTGCAAACTTTGGTCTGTTGGTGTCGCTAGATGGATTAGTCAGAGGTTGTTAGAAGTAGTGTCACAAGTCATTAGGATCCTTCTCTGGAAACCATCGGTACTAAATTGTATGACCCCAATCCAATAGTTGTTAAGACATTTCAACTAAATTGTCATCTGCATGGTGGCAGGAGATCATTATAGTGGGCTTCCTCACCTGGGAATGTTGAATGTCTGTACCAAATAACATGGCAATCCATTCAATAGTTCAATAGTTCAGTCTGTACTGTATCGCCATCTTTTGAGCCACGTGACGTCACAAGTGTGGCTGAAAGCATCAAAACAGTCTCCGGGTATGATGTGTATGGCTTAGCGTGAAACAATCAGTCTCGATCACTATGTGATCTTCTAAATGCATCATGTGAACCCAATGAGAGATGTCAAAGCTGGTCATAATTGAAGTCAGGATTTTATTTTTTGACCCATTGTGCCGTTTTGACCGCCATCAAAGCAAATGGAGTTCAGTTCAACAAAGGTCATCTCCAAATGAAGTATTCAAAAGCTTCACTGTTTGACACAGATTCAAACTATACTCTCTCTCCCTCCCTCTCTCAGGCATACAGTCTTAAAGACTACAAGCAGCTGAAGTCAGATATACATCTGCGAGGCCTGGGCCCTGACTACACAGCAGCTGAACAGACAGTAAGTATTAGCAGGGGTTCATTTACCTCCTTTTCAAACATTTCTTATTCCCATCACATAAAGAAAAGTTTAGGGGGACTTTACCGCAGATATATTTCAGATATATAACTAAAATAATTTGTAGAATTGACAGAGCAAGAGAAACGGTAATCGTTCCAAAAGTAGCTGACAAGCCGTGAGATGCACATCTGCCTCTGTTGCCTCCATTTCAGATGTCTGCTATATCATTATCCACATGTAACCATTTGATCAGAGGACAAGAAATAAATGATGACACAGAAGAACTAAATACAAAAGCTCTCTTACGTACCATGAAGTTATCGTTTGCTGTAAAGCCATATTACCTTGAGGAGTGACTCGCAGATAGGATTTAGTTTGGACAAACATGTTCAGCTGTCCCCAAACTGATGTCCAAAAGTGTCATTGTGTATCCACTAACCCTCTTCCAATGGTCCGAGTTCATCATTTAAAGGCTCCCATGCTGTTTCACAGATAAAATGACATTTACAAAGCAAATGAGAGCACTCCTAAGAAGCTAAGTGCTCTGGGCTGTGATGTATCTGTTGTTAATCCTCTGTTGTAAAAAGTGAGCATGTTTGACCAATTTCCACAAGATTGAGCCCTGGGCATCTCCAGGTCCGAGCCTATTAGTGAGTGATATGTCTAAATGTTGATCGGCCCGCTGAAAGGCCCGCTGTGTTTGGTATTGTTGGGCTACGTGGAGAGGCTCTGTCGGAGGGGGAGCACAAAGAGAAGAGCCTTAAGAGAGAACTGACTGAGTTAATTAAACCTCTCCTTCTCTCTTACCATCATCATGCTGAGAAAATGAAACGACAGAAGCTGTATTCAAATGTGATCCGTGAGCAGAACAAAAACATAAGTAGGATCCCCTTTCTACTGGCCAAGGACCCGGAAGGCAGCGACAAGAAAGTTCCCAGGATGAAGGTGTGTGTGTTAATCTTTTTGAGTGTGTGTGTCCTCGTGTGAAACCTAGCACATCCCTTTTTCAAAACAGTCTGTTTTTTAACTGAGACAAATTGTTACTTAGCAAAATGACAAATAAAGAGTGCAGGAGATTATGGAGAATGTCTCTGCAGGGCTCCTCTCCGGACTCACTGAGCAGGAATAACTGGTGTCGCGCCGCTGCTTAGCAATTACTCATAAAATACTGTGTACTGAACACTAAATAACCTTTAAATTACAGTTGTGTTTTAAGTGACATATTCTTGTTATGAATGAATATAATCAAAACAAAACATCATGATGATTGAAAGTCATCAAGTTGTTTTACTACAGAAGGGGGTACTGCAGATAGAGTTCAGATGAATGCTCATATACATACTGTGTACATATATTACACCTGACTTATAACTAGGTTTGATTGAATAACTATGGTCAACTAACCTGTTACTTATTGGTAATCCAACTGAAGCGTTGACTTTCATTTCACGTTTTATGTCAACACATTTCACATAACAGTACGAGGTTAGTTGAAAGCAATAACAGTAGGTAAACAAATGATATTTGTATTAATATTAGGTTCAACTTAATATTATTGCTTTCAACTAACCTAATACAGTTATGTGAAATGTGTTGACATAAAACATGTAAATAAAGTCAACGTTTCAGTTTTCCAGTGCAGACAGAAGGTGGTCATGTGATGATGTCATGTGGTCATGTGATACTAAAACACAACCAAGGCTCTGAGCTCTCTCCGGGTTTTACTGCATGTCAGCATCCTGTGGGACTGTTCCCATCTTTCCACACAGATGATAGCTAAATACACTATTTTACCTTGAGTTTTGAAATGTTTTATAACAAGAAAACAATTGAAGCTATACTGAGAGTCATAGCATCTACTGTAATATATGTTTTATTTATCAGGAGAGTTTCACAACCATGTACTATGTACTTTACATGAGAGAAACACAACATGACATTGTTTGAGGTCACAGTGAACAGTTTTTACAGACATTTCTGAGTAGCATTTCTATCATTAGTAACTACATTAACATCTGATGATCTCTCTCTCCCTCTCTTTCAATCTTAGGCCTTGGAATATGCCAAGACCATAGCCAAACCTGTGGCGTCTCAAACCCCCAAACAGAGAGAGCAGCGGTCCGAGGGCTCCACTGAGCGCGCTCCGTACCTGGAGGGCCTGGACCACCCCCCCACCGGACACACTGGAAGTCCTTAGACAGCGGCATGAAGAAGAAAAGCAGGCTGTGGCACTCTTCAGGAGGGTTCATGCTGTCTGAAGCAAGGAGGCCGTCTATTTGATATGAGACCTTATATCTACACACTATGATATTTGCATTCATTTACTAGGGCTAGTTTCAAATCTATATTAACTACCAGAAACATATTGGCACGTTTTTCAAAATATTTATCAAAAGATAGATAAATATCATTTCTGAAAAGATTGGCCGCCTTAGCTAGCTTCTGTGTTGCTCTCAGTACTGGGTATACCATGTCTGATTTGACAAGAAATGCATTGTATGACTTATTGGTGTTTGTTTTAACCATAGATGCTAGAATGTAGTTCTACAATGGTAATTCTAAAGCTTGTGAGCCTAGATTTTGGGAGTCAATGTAGCCACAACATTTTTTAAATTAAACAAAGACAAAGCACATAGAATGAACTACTGGGACCTTCTTCTTGAAGTGTACTGTAAAAAAAGGAAGGAGCAGTTTATGTAGAACTGTGTCTGACCGTTAAAGGAACTGCAGTGTAAAGCACTGTGATATTAGATTAGGCTGCGTTCTGCCTTCTGAATTACAATTCTCTTGGACCCATTGTTGCAATGCTTGTATCATTAGCTACCTACAGCTTAGTAATGTATACATTCAAGTCTGGGTCAGCCTGGTGTTTTGTTGTAGCGGCATGTTGACACGTTCTCATGGTAAAGCAGTGTGATTCCTCTTTAATGACGTCTCACTGACAGTGGCACAGTCCCAGGGAGGACTTTGGAACTTGGAATATCTATGCTAATGTATGTTCCAAAATACTAAACAAAACATATCTTTATATTATTTTCTTTGTACCCAAACATGTATAGCACCTGTGACACATGTTCCAGTGACTGCAGTCTCTGTGATCACGTGGTAGATGAAACAGTTGATATTTTATAAAGCTGCACGTCAATGAAAATACATTTTTGGCACTCATTATATTTATCAAATCCTTATTAACTTGGCACCCCAAAGAGCAGCTTTGCACGAATAAATGTTCACACTGTGGGATGAACACTGTCTGACATATCCAACCTGCTAGAATGATTCTTCAGTGTACTGAGAATGAATGATGAAGCACACACACACACACACACACACACACACACACACACACACACACACACACACACACACACACACACACACACACACACACACACACACACACACACACACACACACACACACACCACACACACACACACACACCACACACACACACACACACACACACACACACACACACACACACACACACAATAACAATATATAAAACGCAATATTGATGTGATATTATTGAATATGCTAAATGATCAGACACATAATGGCACAATAGACTTTGTCCTTTTGCTGAAGGAGAGGTAAATGTCCCTGGGGACTCATGTCTTTAACGACATTAAGTGATAGAACGTCATAGTCCAATCCCAACCATCCCAGACCACTGATGCCCACACTACATCTTTCATGGAAGAGACAGGTGATCAAATATAGATATCATTACCCCATTACACCTGCATTACACCGTTTCATCTAGAATACTCCACACACCAATTGTTGGTGTTCCCACTTTTACAGTGTAGAACGTCCTGCTCAAATCACAGATGACACTCTGAAGGTCCCCTCATGTGGTCTCAGTCCTGGTTCTGTAGCCATGTTCTAATATAAACTCCACCCCAATACGAAACACTCAAGCAGCTCATTTTACTAATTGAACCCTCAGATCATTATCAAAGCACTATTTACCTCTGTGCAATATTTTAATTAGATTATAGTCTCTATTTAACCCATCATGGGCTCTTTGAAGCTCTGTGTTTTTAGTGTTAAGTCCTCAGACAGAGCCCTTTTTAATTTAATGAGAAACGCTGCCTATCCAGACTGAGTCACTGCATCTTTTTTAGGTCCCACCTACTCATTTTTCGCCATTGAAATCCAGTTAATTGAAGGAGTCTTTCGCTGCTATACATGAAGGGGGCCAAATTAGCATCCCTTTTTGCCCATTGGGAAGCCCGGGGAGACGAGGGTCTTTGATGTGAGGAGCTTTCAGCCGCGGCAGGCTTCCTGTGAGTGAGCTGATGGCCCTGCTATTAGGGCCAAATGCAGATGCGTCCATGTGTTGCAAAACGCTTAATCTTTTAATTGATCACCTTCTGCATGGCCTATTCTCCACATCGTTTTTTTCCTCACTGACCTAATCACATTTTGAAGAAGGGATGAATTGCTTTTCAAAAACCCAGGAAAGAACGGCAAGTCCTGTACGAAGGTGAAAAGAGCACGGCATGAATTTGTGCAAATGCCTAAGAGATGATCTCTTATCACATTATTGATTAGACAGTATAACCCCTTCACCCTACATATGTTAAAATAAATAGTTGACTATACACTCAGAGACGGTTCATTCATGCCTCTCACCGCAGCGTTGGTCTGTGGACCAAAGGGAACAGACTCCCATGAGGCAGGTGACTTTTCTGTTTGTTGATATGAAATCTGTTGAACAAGATTATTTGAATGAAATATTCTGGACCACTGGTAAAGTACTCATTAGTGAACTAATGAAATATCACTGAAAAAGTGTAAACACTTTCTTTTCCTCCACCATATTGATGAGGACAATACTGATGCACGGAATTCCAAATCCAAATCATAACCTTACTAAATCAAATAGATAATAAAAACAATATTCACTGACAGTGAATTGCCTAAATCTGATTAAAATGATATTAAATATTTCTTAGATTTTTCTTTTTGTTCCATTCCATCCTCAAAAACAGTAGCATAATAAAATGTCTACAAAAATATTATTTTTGGAAAACTTTTTTTTCTATGACCATATTGTGCACAAACCCCCAGAATAATGTGGTTAAGCTGCATTTATACACACATTTATTCTTTGCCGTAATACATTCTCATATTGCACATTTGGGTTGACTTTTGACTTTAATTTGAGTAGATATCATTGTTTAAATATATTAACATTGGTAACCATATTGACTGAATTCCAAATATCCTTTCTATCTCTAGAGCTGAGCTGGACTCATCTTTTTTTTAATTAGTCTAAAGAAATAATACTTTTTACATCTTAATATGTTGACTGTTCTTACACTGAAAAAAAGGACTTTTTGGCTTTGTAAATATTACTTTGATTATATGTTTAAATTCTACAATACATTAGTATTTCAGTAATTTTACTCCAAATGTCTCCTTTTATTTAATGTGTTACTTGTGTTTCTATGTAATTTTGAATCTTCATTTTGATAAGTGAATTTTAACAATAGCACCAAGTAAATATTACCTAAATTATTGTATTGACTGTACAACCTGTTAAAGCTATTAAAATGTACATGGGAAATGCAAGTTAACTGTGGGTGACGTCATAGGAGAGTATTTCCCGCACGTTGCCCCCGCAGACATGCACGGACAGTCTACTCAGAAGGTTGACATTTGAGTGGAACTTGAAGACTGCTTGGTCGACCATTTCATTTGAATATTCATCGATGTGGAGTCATGTGAGTATGTTTATGTGCTTGGTTAACTTGTTATATTCCTATTAGCTTGTCAGCTGAAGTCAGTATTTGGTTATTAAAAATGTAAGGCTAAGTTAGCTAACATTAGCTGGTTAACTAGCTCATTATCGTGCTAGCAAACTTAGCCCGGTTTCATGCAAGTTGCACACATCAGATATAATATATTTTTTTTAATGGCTTATTTGAAGCTTCAAAGTTGTCGGCTACGACAACATTCGCCGTTTATAATGGAAACTATGGCGCACTTTTAAAAATTTGAATAGTTTTTTATTTCGGGAGAGGGGGGTGTTCATGGCTCCAGCTCGACAAAAGAAATACTCAACAGTATGTGCGACGCTACGTGATGCGGTCAGTTTCACTGCAGCCTAGAGAAGGACAAAGTGGTCAAGGAATATTATATTTGCAATTAAATATGAACAGCGCGATTTAAAAGGTAAGTGTGTCTGTGTGTTTGCCTCGATGGATTCACTGTTGGCGCTTTTCCAGTGCAGCACTTAGCACAGTTTGGTTTGACCCGGCCCGTAACAACATACTGATACCGGTTAGTAAAAACCATGAATTAATGCTTTGACAAGTCTGCGTTTTGTACTTGTTTCACTTTTGTCTAGTTTCTGAACAAATATGAGGAGCTGTGAGCTCTGAGTGCTAACAGCTAACGGCTGATGTTCCGGTGTGAACGCGGCTATTGAAGATTCCTGCAGTACAGGAAGTGACGATCCTGAACACGTTTTTTTCCCGGCCCCCCGAAGGACTCATCACGGAGGTGATGAGTCCGCTCACCATGCACTTTGGGTCGGCCTTGGTCAAGCCCTTTTGACCCCCCCAGCCTGGTTCTCGTAAAAGCCATTTTTCGCTCAAATGATACCATGGAGGAATGTAACGGGAGTTGACAGGGGACTCTCCCCGCCTCACGAGTGCCTATTTTCGGACACTTTTTTTCACATTTTCCCCGGTTCTATTCATTTTTATTTTGTTGGCTATTTCACCCGGTTCCTTCTAACTGGGACACTGCCCGGTCCGGGTGTCCCCCCACGGCCAGTGTCCAGCCCCCCCTCCCACTCATCCATATATTAACAGATTTTGACATGTTTTGTTGCATTTTTCTCCTCTCCGCTCTGTGATCGAATGGCAAACGCGACCCACCATGCCCACGGCCTAGTTCTGCTGCTCTGGCGGTTGGTTCTTCCGAACTGCGGGTTCGACTCTGATGACCGGGAGGGTGTGCTGCGTTGGGGTGGGGGACTTCCCCCACTTTGCGTGTCTCTTCCTTCCCGGCCGGCCGACGACGCACGGTCTGACGGGTCCCACCACGGGTCCCGCAGCGGGGTAGAGGTTCAGGGCTGGAACCTCCCCACCTCCGCCGCGGTGCACCCGGCCAACACGGTTGTTTGTCGAACCCGCCACTGTTGTCTAGCGGGTGTAACTATACAAGATATCGTTATTTATTTATATAAAAAAAAAAATATATATATATATATATATATAATAAGTGTCATTGCGATTTTATTTTGTATTAGCGTGCATTTCCTGTTCGGAAAGTGGTGCTGTACTGAGAGTAAACAATACAATTGAAACAGTTGAGGGGAACGTGCACCTTTTGCACACAAACAAATTGCGTTTGTTTTGCTAATGTACCATTAGCTCCTGGGTTTTAGGCGGCGGAAGTGACGTAATCTGCCACCCAGGACAAGAGATAAAAATAACGCCATACTCAGAGAATGTATTCCTACGGTTTAAAACACATTATTGTACATTAAAGTTACATTCTGATGATTAGTGACATTTCATTTTATTTATTTCAT